AATCTTCTGGTCCAAGGAGCTAATTCTTCGGAGTTGTGAGACACCACCCCGGGAAAACACCTCAGCTCACTGTTCCGGTTTTCAATATCAGCATCCAGCAGGCTTTCATCATTGCCCCTATTCTATTGTTTGTCTCATGCTTTCTTTGGAAGTCCCCATCAACCCTCATAGTTTTGACTTCTGCATCTGTACTAAAGAATTTCAATTCTACATCTTCCACCCTAAGTTTACCTACACAGACCTTCAGATTCTTTTACTCTCAATACGAAACAAGAATGATCCATTAACCTACAAGTCAGATCATGACACAACTCTGTCACTAGCCCCCAAAGACTCCCCATCTCTATCAAAATTGCATCCAGAATCATTATCTGACTCTGAGGATTTGCATTGAGCACTTATACCAGGGACTTACTCTTTTATTAATACATTGCATAATGTTCAACTGATGCTTTTTGGTAAGGCCTTCCCTTACCACTCTAAAACTTCACCATTTTCTCAACCTCCACAAACACACTCTCTACTCATATTTCCTGCATTGTTTTACTCCACAGCATGTATTACTATCTCTATATTTTATTTTTTTCTTTATTATACACCTCTCTCCCATGTTTTCCCTCCCCATGTACAGTGTAAGCTCCATGAGGGCAGGGATTTTTGTCTGTTTTGTTGACATTTCTTTAGAGGCTAGTATAGTATAACTAGAGGCCCGGTGCACAAAAATTTGTGCACTCGAGGGTGGGGGGGGGTCCCTCAGTCCGGCCTGTGCCCTCTTGCACTCTGGGACCCCTCGGGAGATAATGACCTGCTGGCTTAGGCCTGCTCCCCGGTGGCAGAGGGCAGGCCCAATCCCTAGGTGCAGCCCCTGGTTGGGCTCAGAGCAGGGCTGATTGGGGAGTTGGGGCGCCACCCCCTGTCATGCACAGAGCAGGGCAGATGGGGAGGTTGCCATGCCACCCTCAGTCACGCTCAGGGTAGGGCCGATTGGGGGGTTGGGGCACCGCCCCCTGTCACACTCAAGGCAGGGTCGATGGGGAGGTTGCGGCACCACCCCCTGTCACGCACAGAGCAGGGCCAATCAGGGGGTTGGGGCGCTGCCCCCGTCACGCACAAAGCAGGGCCCATCAGGGGGTTGGGGCTCCCCGCTATTACTCACAGAGTAGGGCTGATAGGGGAATTGGGGCACTGCCCCCTGTCACACACAGAGCAGGGCGGATGAGGGGTTTGGGGAGCCACCCTCTATCACCCACAGAGTAGGGCCGATCAGGGGGTTGGGGTGCCGCCACTCTCACACTCAGGGCAGGGCCGATGGGGAGGTTATGGCTCTACCCCATCACACACAGAGCAGGGCCCATGGGGGGGGGGGATTGGGGCGCCACCCTCTATCACCCACAGAGCAGAGCCGATCAGGGGGTTGGGGCGCTGCCACTCTCACACTCAGGGCAGGGCCAATGGGGAGGTTATGGCTCTACCCCAAAACACACAGAGCAGGGCCCCGGGGGGGGGGGTTGGGGCGCCGCACCCTGTCACACACAGAGCCGCAGGGTGATCAGGGGGTTGGGGAGCTCCCCCCTATGAGGCACAGAGCAGGGCTGATCAGGGGGTTGGGGTGCCTTCCCCTGTCATGAACAGAGCAGGGCGGATAGGGAGGTTGTGGCCCTGCCCCCTGTCACACACAGAGCCGCAGGGCTATCAGGGGGTTTGGGCGCTGCCCCCTGTCACGCTGATCCCGGTGCTGGGAGGCATATTACCATTTTACTATATAGGATAGAGGCCTGGTGTATGGGTGGGGGCAAGCTGGTTTGCCCTGAAGGGTGTCCTGGATCAGGGTGGGGGTCCCCACTGGGGTGCCTGGCCAGTCTGGGAGAGGGGCTGAGGGCTATTTTCAGGCTGGCGGGTGACTGAAGCTCCCAACTGCTCCTTTTTTTCTTTTTCTTTTTTTATTCTGGGCCAGCTTTAGCTCTGGCTCCAGTTCTGAGGCCTCTGCTGCTGAAAGCAGGTATCTGGTTTGTTTGGGTTCTATAATCGAAACACTGTATCACCTCTAGCTCTGAGATCCCAGCTGGCTGAAAGCAGGTATCTGGGGTTTTGTTTAGCTTCTATATTTGTTTCAAACTGCAAGCTCAGAGGATGGCAAGGCAGGTGGGGACCGTTGGTTTCCTCTGTAACTGAAGCAAGGAAGCCTCATGTTAGCTTCAAGCTGCCTGGCTGCCGGCCGCCATCTTGGCTGGCAGTTAATTTGCATATTGCCCTGATTAGCCAATGGGAAGGGTAGTGGATGTATGCTAATTACCATGTTTCTCTTTTATTAGATAGGATGCCTGGGAGAGAGCAGATTGTTAATTAAGTGGTTGAATAAATGGAAGGATCATAGGCTTGGAATTGTGCTGAGTTCATAAAGACATAAGAAGATTGGGTTCATAGAAGGAACAACTGGCTTTCTTAAACCTCAGAAAGATTGTAGGGAACATATCTGGATAAAGGGAAGCTTACATGAACCTCTCTTCTTTGGTAACTAGAGGCCCAATGCATGAAATTTGTGCAAGGAGCTTGGCCCTCACAGCCCTGGCTGCCTCTCGGCCCCAAGGCCCCATCCACTGGTCATTCTGGAAGGTCATTACAACATCATGTCTCATTAGCATATTAGCTCTTTATTTTGTAGGATTGCTGGCATGGGAGCCGAGATAAAAAGGAAAACATTGGGATTTACATTAAATGGAAGACTATTCATTAAAAACATTAATAATAGTAATAAGGAGGGAAAATAAAGGTTTTTGCTATTTGGTTAGCAAAGCTTGACTTCTTATTTCTGTTTTTGTTCAGAACTAGTCTGTGGCTCCAGCCATGCTATCACCTCTAGTCCTTGTCTTTTTCCGTCTCTCTCCCCTCCAGCTCTTATTCACTCCCTTATCCCTCTTTATCATTTTCTCTTCTTTTCCTTCGACTAATATTGTTATGCAAATATACGTGTGTTACAGTAATATAATAATATTCATATATATTGGTGTTACAATCTTCTGTTCAGAGGTTGATTTGATTATGCTAATGATCTACTGGTGTAATCAATTAAAAAAACATTTTGGTATATCTGTACCACTAGTGCTGTTTAAAATAAATGCAGCAGTCAAATAAAAGAATTAAGTAAACGAAGACTCTAGAGATATTTTCACTTTAGCACACTACCTAATTATCAAGGAATTTTTACTAATCTAGAAAGTTGGCTGGAGTCTTATGACTAAAGAACAAAGTGTGTAATTTGGTAGTCCATGTAGCCTCATAGCCACAAATATTTTTTTCCCTATGCTATGAATATGTAATTCTCTTTTGAAAGTTGCTGAGGTATTTGGCTCACTAAAATCCCGTGAAAATGACTGCTTTAGATTTATTAGGCACTCCATAGAAACATATTTCCTTTGTGTTTTAAATCAGTTGCATTTTAATGTCATTGAACATGCCCTTGTTCTTGTTTCCATTTGTGGTCTTGTATCCAGTGGGAATTTATAGGGCGCAGATTTATTTAAATTATGCTGATGTATTTGATCTTTCAACATACATAGTCCATGGTAAAAATGGGTGTCTGTCCATATCCAAAGATGAAATATGAGGAAAAAGGCATGCTGATAAATTTTCCACTAAATCAGGTTTAATTAGATATCAAAAAGAGATAAAGCCCGGCAAAGTTTCCACTCTAAGTGTTATAGAGATCTAAGACCAGAAAAAATAGAAGATATTCAAGTGTATATTATAAAACAATTTCTTGATTTTTTTTATACACAGCAAAGCAAAAAAAAAAAATACTTCTCACTTAACCAAGCCACTTGTTGAGCAGCAACTTCCTCCTCATTAATTCTTCCAATTTCATTTTACAAGTAGTTTAGGAAAACCTCTCTATCCAACAAAAGTGTTATTAGGCTTGTTCTGTCGTCATTCTTGCCTAGATTACTCCCTAAGAACTGTATTACTGAGCCATATTTGGCATAGCTATGTTTCTGCTTTTGGGATTTGGGCAAAAGTTGATACATTTCTAAAGCATTGTGCATAAGTCAAGTCTTATGTTTCGTTTCCTGGGGTTGCTTGTTAATTTTAAAAACAAACAAACCAAACCAAAACAAAAAAACTCAAGAGAAAACATTCATGAAAAGAAATAGTCTTCTGTAAAGTAAATATTACAGTAAAGTAAATGAGTTTACTTAAAGTGAGATACAGTCTTATTAGTTTCAAGGATTCGTGTACATGTGCACAAAAGTACATTTCCTTGTCACAAAGGCATATATTGTCCCTCTGTCTACTCTTTTTATCTATCTTCTTCCAAAACATCTGCCAAAGAAAAGAGGACTCCCACTAGAATAGTTGTAGCACCAGAAAGTCATGTCAGAATTTGTGGAGGAATAAATGTCATATGTGCTCATTCCATTTATGCCCCATGCTCACTCTTCATCCTTGTCTCACTTCCCCTCAGACATTTTTTTTTTTTTTTGCCTAGGGATTTAGAACATGGCAGACATGAGTGGAGCTAGTTGTAACTAAAGTGGTTGAAAGTATGCTTGAGGTTCTTTTCCACCTCTCTTTTCTAATTATATAAACAAACATACACTGAAATTTAGGAGTCACTAAATATGTTGAATGTCTTCACTTTATTTAAAAGTATAGTAGCAAACACAGTATGTCATGATTGAAGGCACTCTAATACAGTTAAATACACGGTATTCAAAATGCTAAAAGAAAAGATCACACCAAAAATGTAATGTCTACATCCCTTAGAGATTTATGTAGATAGCTCATTTCAGCAATTCCATTATTTCCTGTGCTAGAGAAGAGTTTCAAAATCTCACTAAAACTTCAGAGTTTCTTATAACTGATTGATTTAATACAGTCTTTCTTAAGATTCCACACCTAGATTTAACTTTCCCTCATATTTCCACAATTCTTTTAAATTCTCATCTATAGTTCTGAGGCTCTGCAATTTCTTCCTGTCCTTCTAATACCCTAATTTGTCTTTCAGTCTGATAGCCACACTCAGCCACCATGGGAACTGCTCCTTTCCTCTAGATAAACTATGTAAGTATTCTCAGTACAAAGTAGATTTCAAACTCAGGATTTATAATTGTGTTACTTTTACTATTTTGGGTCCATGGTTTAAATCCTTTCTGAAAATAGTAATTCCCTACCATCTCTTTCTGTGCTACTGATTCCATCTCCTTCTGTCCCCTCTGGGATCATTTTCTATTAATCATCCTCTGCTCCCAACACCCCTTCAGTCTTTTGTACAGTGATTCTCTTTCTCCATTACTACAAACAAACTGAACACTTTTATTCGAATAGTGTTTACTTCAAACCTGCCCCCAGAAATTAATCTACATTGTCGTCACTCATTTTTTTTCTTATATGTTTAAAGTATTAGTATTTTTCTTAAATAACTACACTTTGCTTCTTATTATCATGAGGATTCAACACAACTACTCTTTTGATTCAGTCCTTGCAACTGTCAAAATAACATTTCAGTGTTTCTCTTCATTTCTCATCCATTTCCAACTTGGGCATATCAAACATGATTTCTGGGAAAATGCTCCTCTGACTTTATTAAGAATTGCTAACCCTATTTTTCTATATGCTTTGAGTGCTTTCTATATGCTACACACTGGCCTAAGGACTTCACACATATTCACTTGGATAGTGAGCCATTAACTACCCCTTTTTCACAGATGAAGAAACTGAGACAAAGAGGTTAATGATCTCTCCAAGAGCACACGGTGGCAGGACTCGAACTCCGGCAGCCTGGTTCCAGAGACCACTCTACATCTGTTTTTGATGTTAGCTTCTGAGCTGTCTTCCATTGGCCACTCTTTTGCTATCTTTATATGTATATTAGAGGATATGTAATAGACATTATACAATTACAAGTTATTCATCAATGCATCATTGTAAGAATTTAGTTACTATAAAAATATATAGAATGAAAAATGAAAGTCTTCTATTATCTCTCTACCCCAATTCTAATTCCATCCCTACAGGAAACAGTTTGTTGCGTGTTCTTCCAGATTTCGATCCATGCATTTACTTATAAAGATAGACATGAATATTTACTAGTTTTAAAAAAGTATTTGCAAAAATGAGACTATACTATATGTTTTCCCACAAGTTAGCATTTTTCACTTAATAATGTACTTGGGAATTAGGGAGACTGAGCTTTTTATTTCAGAAAATACAGATCTGCATCATTCTAGTTAATAACAACATAACATTCCATAAGGTGGAAATATGATATTGACTGACTTTCAGGTTGTTTCCTATTTTTATTATTATAGAACATGATACAATTAGTATTCCTGTATGAATATCTTTGTAAACATGTAAACAAGTCTTCCTATAAAACAAATTTCTATAGGTTGAATTGTCAGGTCAAAGGATATGGTCACTTGAAATGTTAAGTACTGACAAATTTTTTTTCCAAAAAGACTGCATTATTCAAATTCCATCAATAATGTATCAGAAATTTCATTTTTTTATTGCTTTCCATCACTTGATGTTATCGGAAATAAATTTTGCCCATCAAATGGGAAAGTTGTTTCATTTCCTTATTTTATTGTGTAATTCCTTAATTTAAGCATATCTGTGCCTTTTCATATCATTAGTCCATTAAATAATTATATCTTTTGTAATTTCCTTATAAATTTATAGGAGGTAGTTAAAATGATTAATTCTTATTGTTTTTGTTATATTTAGTATAACTATCTTATCCTATTTTGTTAGTTTTTATTTTCTTTTTCTCTTTTTTATAGAGTTAATATTCCCACTAGCTCCTTGATTTAAAGGTTAATTATTTTGTTATTAAAATACTTTGTTTGCTAATAAAGACATTAAAGCTTCTGAATTTTCCTTTCAATTCTGTTGTCCAGATTTGGTATATAACCCCTTCTCATTGCTACTTACTTCTGAATGTTATATATTTTCCATTTTAATTTCCTCTTTCACCTCAGAGTTACTTAGAAGGGTGTTTACATATTTTTCCAAGAGGGTATATAAAACAATTGCATATAAACTATATATACTTGTTTTACATACATGGACACATGTTTATTTATAGCTTACTCATGACTTGGTTATAATTCTTTGGGGGGGCTTTCTAAAATTAGTTTTATGCTGCTTAAGTTACATGTTAATTTGATTTTTTGTTTTTGTAACAGTAATCAGATTCTGAATGTGTCTTCTCAGAATATTTACTAATCAAAGTCAGCAGTATGTGTGACAAACTGATTGAGAGAGGCTTAGCAAGGAGGGCAGTGGGCCGTGGTATACCTCCTTATTTGACTCCAAAGAAGATCACTTAAAAATACCTTCCCCCCCTTAAGAAAACCACTCTTACTAATAATCATAAAATAAAAAGAATATATTTCATGCATAGTCACATATATTTTTCACTTTGATAAAATTTGCACTTACAAAAACTGCTACACATCTTTGCATACTTCTTCCATGTTAAGCAAAATTAAAAACTCCATGTGTTCACACAGAATGACAGATCGAGGTAACTCTATTTGTTTCTTTGTCTTTACGACCATTGCACTATCACTGTTTATTCTGAGTCTACTCTTTGAAGGCAGGGATATGTGGTACCTTAGGGGATGAAGATACCAACAGCACTGGAAACAAGACAAAAATCTGCAACCTTTTGGAAATTACTCTCCAAACAAATGCATGTAGCTGAATCCACATCTACATAGGAGGTAACTATTAACTTTTAAGGAGAATATAGCATTTCTTTAGAGGATAAGTAATAAAATTCTACTAATTTGAAGCTTATATATAAATTATAAATCTCAGCCATAATTGTTTAGAACATACACGTAATAATTTTGGGGAAGCAAATGTTATCACTAACACTGTTTAGAATTGCAGTAGCATGGTAATAATAAAAAGCAGACCCACTCTAAATGGGTTTTATTACTGTTTTGAATTCTCTACAGACACCATACCCCTTATTTCCCACATCTGTAGAGATCCACTTACTCCCCCTGCCAGCCTTTGCTATACTACTCAGGGGAAGGAGAGACACAAACACAAAAACAATAAAATAACAACAAGGAACTGAAGATTGATGAAGGCTTTTCAATACAGTCTCCTGTACCAGTCTGCTTTGAAAGAAGGTAAAAGGTGCAAAAATCTATGCTGTACTCTTTACAATATTATAGTACATTTCAGAAAAATTTGACAGATTACAAAAATACCATAAACCACACCTACTTGAAAGTTCAAGTTAAACAACCAGTTAATTATAAATACCAATCTATAATTCAGCTTAAGAAATTATATTTGAAAGGAAATATGTTAGCATGTAATTCTACAGAAATAAAATTTTCTCCTAGACTCATTACTAGGATGTTTAATGTGTTTTGAATAGAATATCTATTTCTAATATTCCCCTTTGGTGAGGAGATAATATAGAAACCTTGAAAAAGCCTATGTCTTAAAGACCTTAAAATAAGGACTGGTAAAATTCACCTAATTTTATTCTTTGCCTCCAAGGTTCTTGGAAATTTTTTTTTAATTAGAGAAAGAAATATCTCCTGAACAGAACCTGCATTCTGCACCCAAAAGTAAAAATAAGAATTGAGTATTCTTAGAGGGTGTGGGGATTTTGAAGGGGTAGAAATAAGCAGGAATCGGGGAGTCAGAGGTGATGCCCCTTTGGCTTTGACGACTAACTGGTTTCCATCTTCCACATCCTGTAATACTTATTCACTCTGTTCTTTATTGTATAGGTGCCTGAAGTTCATAATATGAGGTTTTCATGTGACAATTGCATGATGATTGGAAAGCCATTATATCTTTCTTTACTCATTATTTTTAATTCTGCAGTTGAATCGTTCAAAGGTCTTAGTCAGTCTGCAACCTCCATTAGGGGCATTTAATACGTTATACAGTAAAATGTGGAACACTTATAAGACCTCAGTTAGGATAGAAGAACATTTCTGTCACTGCACTATCACTGGCAACATTACAAGCCATGATGAGTTCTATAAAGTCACTATCATGTCTTCCTGTGGCAAATTTAGTTAGATGCCTATGGTAAGGTCCTTACCATACCTTGTGTATCAAAGACTTATCTCTCTCTCATAATATACCTGTACTCTGAAAACTATAAGTCACTGATCAATGAAATTGAAGACAACACAAATAAATGAAAGAACATACTGTGCTCATGGATCAAAAGGATTAATATTGTTAAAATGTCCATACTACCCAAAGTTATCTACAGATTTAATATAACCCATATCAAAATACCAATGACATTTTTTACAAAACTAGAATAAATACTACTAAAATTTATATGGAACCACAAAATAACCCAAATTGCCAAAACATTATAGGTGTTATTCTCCCTAATTTCAAACTAAGCTCTAGTAATAAAAACAGCATGGTACCGGCACAAAAACAGACACATAGATCAATGGAACAGAACAGAGAGCCTGGGAATAAACCCACATGTATATGGTCAGTTAATCTACAAGGAAGATAAGTGTATACAATGGTAAACGACAGTCTCTTCAGAAGATGGTGTTGGGAAAACTGGATAGGTACATGCAAAACTGAAACTGTAGCACTTTCTTCTGCTATATATAAAAATAAACTCAAAATGGACTAACGTTTAAAATGTAAGACCTGAAACCGTAAAACTTCTGGGTAGTAAACTCTTTGATATTGGTCTTAGTAATTTTCCTTTTGGACATGTCTCCCTGAGCAATGGCAACAAAAGAAAAAATAAACAAATTTGATTACATGCAACTAAAAAGCTTTTGCACAGCAAAGAAAACCATCAACAAAATGATTACTATTATTTTTTGTTGTTGTTGGATCCTTGGTGGGATCATTTGATTTAGAGACTCATGGCTTTTAGTTCTGGGAAATTTTCTATTATTTTTTGATTACTTCTTTACCTCCCTTTCCCCTATTTCTTCTGCAACTTGTATTAGATTGATTTTATTTTTAAATCTATTTTATTTTCTTTATTTTTGTATTCTGGTTCTACTTTCTGGATCATTTTAAATATTTATTTCCTAATACCTCTATTGATTTTTTTTCATATTTTAATCAGCAAATTTTAATTTTTTAGAGTCCTTTTGTTCTTTAATTGGTCCTTTTTCAGAGAAACCGAATTTTCTATTATGGATGCAATAACATTTCTTACTACTCTTGGCAATATTGTTTATATTCAGTAATTCCTTTTGTAGCAGTAGCCTCGCATAAACTCCCACCCTTTTTTAAAATAACAACTACCCTGAGTTATAATCAAAAATCACAAAATTCACCACTCTAAAGCATACGATTCAACAATTTTTAGTATGTTCACAGAGTTGTGAAACCAATTCCACTATCTAATTTTAGGACATTTCATCACCCCAAAAGAAACTTCATACCCATTAGCAGAAAAATCCCCATTTCCTTCTGCCTTCAGCCCCTGAAAACCACTTATTTATTTTTTATGTATGAAATTGCTTATTCCGGATATTTTGGTTAATGGACTCATACAATATGTGGTCTCTTGTGACTGGCTTCTTTCACTTAGCATAATGTTTTCAATGTCTCTCTTCATTGTTGTATGTGTCCGTACTTCATTTACTTTTATGGCTGAATAATATTCCATTCTATAAATGTACCACAATTTGTTTATATATTCACCAGTCGATATACATGTGGGTTGTTTTCACTTTTTAGCTATTATGAGACAAGCAGCTATGAACAAACATGCACAAATTTTGGAGGGACATATATTTTCAAGTCTCCAGGGTATATATCTAGGAGTGGAATTTCTGGGTCATATGGTAACTCTAAGTTTAACATGTTTAGGAATGACAAAATGTTTTCTGTAGTGGCTGAAAAACCATTTTACATTCAAACCAGTAATATACACCATATTAAAATTGGGTTGTTTACATTTTAATGGTTGATTTATACAAACTCCCCATAGGTTGTGAATACTAAACTCTTATTAGGTACATGGTTCCCAATATTTTCTACCATTCTGTAAATTGTCTTTTCACATTCTTGGTAGTGTTCTCTGAGGTACAATTTTTGTTGTTGTTGTTGTTTTGATTAAATCCAATTTATCTAGTTTTTATTTGATTACTTTATATGTGTTTTGCATTTCATATCTAAGAAACAATTGCCTAATCTAAGATCACTAAGACATATATCTGTTTTCTTCTAAGAGTTCTATTGTTTTAGCTTATATATTTATGTCCTTGATCTATTTTGAGTTAATATTTTTATATGGTGAGAGGTAGGGGTCCTAATTCATTATTTTTCATGTATATCCAGTTTCCCCAACAAATTCATTGAAAATACTATTCTTCCCCTCTTTGAATTGTCTTGGCACTCTTGTCTAATATCAATTGGCCATAAATACATGATTTTATTTCTGGAATCTTATTCTATTCCACTGATCTGTGATTATTCTTATGCCAGAATGACACAATATTATAGTGAGTTTTGAATTGGGAAGTGTGAGCACTCCAATTTTGTTCTTTTGTAAATATTGTTTTGGCTATTATGGACCCCCTGCA